TGCCTGCGACTCTGTTCGCGTGGAATAATGATTTCCTGTAAATTTTTGGTTATAAAAACTATCCTTTGTCCTTTGTCGAGTTCCAATTATGTCTGCACCTAATTTCACAGAAATCGGGTTAGTAGTTTAGGCGTAAAGACAGACAGACAGACAGATAGACAAAGTTACTTTCCCATTTATAATATTAGTTTAGATTGTCATGTCAAACATATGTGGCAATGTAGAGAAAATAATAGTTTTCATAAGTATAAAAAGTAAACATTAATTGTAATAAAATGTACAATGTAGTATTTCCATCCAATAATGAGCAAAATATGAATTTATTATGTCAAAATTAAAGTAGGTAATATATCAGGCTCGAATCGAAATTCGTGTTCAGAAGTCGACCGTTAGACCGGCGAAGCAGTTAAGGGTTAACATTGATTAAAGATTAAAGGGCTGTAAAATTAATACCCTCGATAATTAACCTAACGCACTTGACCGATTTTTGGTCAAACTGCCACGTTACGCAAGATTGAACCTTAATGACAGACATAATAATATAAACAACAAATAAATTATATGAAACTATTCAATATAGTCAAATTGCTTTGTAACAGTGATTGCTTCGGTCCAATGAAAGTAAGTCCATCATAATAATTGAACTATATTGTATTATGTAAACGTTGTTATTAACTTTTGTTCCATTACTGAAATCCGTAAACTTTACGAAATTCAATCAATGGATATCAAGCTTGAAGCATACGTGCGCCCTTTGGCCTTTGTCGTATAAACCAACAATTTATGTCAAGGTCGAAAAAGAATCACTATTAAGTTAATTGGCGAATGGTCAGCCTTATCAGTTTTCCGCACGGTCGACTGATTAACGATTTACGAAAATAGCCTTTGGTAAGACGAACGGACAATATTTTCTGTTATCCGGTCGCGGATATCCCCTTTCAAGGAGTCCGATCGATAATGGTTATATAATTTGATCAATGTCTTGTGATATTTCAACGAGTGATTTATGGAGGTTAACTTTAGGTAACCGATTGTTTTGGTCATTTAGTTTTACTGCTGGAGTCAGATTTAAAACAAATGTTACGGTCGCTTAGAATTATAGTTAAATATGTATATTTCCTTCCTTCTGATCATGGTGATTCTATTTCGGTCCGGGATATCTCCTCCAACAGCTGGGCCATGACGAGAGTCATTCACATCCTTCTTAGCTTACATGAAGGGGGAGATGGCTTACCATATTCCTGTTGCTCTACACCATGGCCTGGACAAAAGAAAACCTGAGAGGTCGCCGTTGATTGCTTCCCTAAGGACATTGTGGTGCTCAGCCTATGCAGAACACACTGCCTCTGTATGCTCCATTGTGTTCACCGAGTGATTACTACATCCTTAGTACTACATCCTTTTTTTATTTTAATTTTTCTGTCAGGGGAAAATTATCAAATGAATTCTCCCACCCAGGGTAAAGCGAGAGAGAGTGTCAGACTCTTACGGACTAAAAACCTCCCCATTCCTTCTCCTGCTCTGGATTATTACTACATCCTGGCAAATTCAAAAAAGGTAACGCCCAAAACTTTCGTATTCAGTAAGTACTCGCACCAGGCCAAAATTGATTGCGTCATGGCGTCTTTCTAGCCGATCGTCAAAGAAGCGTTTAGCCCTGCGATAATAGCAACCCTGGTATTCGGATGATCCGTTGTTACATCTCCCCTACCAAGATATCTCACTGGGGTTCGTCCTACTATACGCCCTAACCTGGCGCCACAACTGAGTGAGTGAGACTTACCCCAGCGACGTGCCTCTTATGAATCGGCAAGGAAGTTTGTCGCATATTCGGAGATCATATGATATCCACCTCCCATAGATATTTACTCTATTGACGCCAGTGCAGAAGTCAAACTGCCATCTTTTAGGTCCGGCCACTTTTTAAACGGCAAGATCGTTCGAAATTATTCTTTCGGAGAGTTTTTTAACCTAGTCGAGAAATATGATGATCGAATACGCGCATGGGCGTAGTTAGATATACCTTACTTTCTTAACTTATTCAATATTTACCTTAGTACTTTGGAATAAGTAAAAGAAAACCTGATTGTTGATACGATAATTCGTAGGCTACGGCTATGGCTACGCAGTACCTCTACCCGTGTCAGTGCGTGATAAGCGTTGATATTTTCGTAGCCATAACCGTAACGTCGTAGCGCTACGAATTTAAAGTGTCAAAGTGTATGTGGATTTATGATATTTATTTTACGCTAGTTTCTCAGAACCAGCTTGGTAATAAATAGTAATAATGCATACCTTACACATTGTATTGAAATAATGAAAAAGAAATCAAAGTTTCAGTTGTAAATAATAAATAAGGCTTTCTTTTGAAAGCATCTTGAAACTAAGCCATGTAAATAACAGATAACTTATTTCATTCTTGATTAGTTTTCTAGTCGGTCTATTTAGAAGAAAAACGAGTATAATTAATTAATCACACCACTCTAATTACGAGCAATTTGAACAAAACGAAATCCATCGAGATGTTTATAACTAATTAGGTTGGAGTTTCTATACATTTTTTGTTTAGCTTCAGTGAAAAGATAAACCGTTGTGGAATAAAAAATACGAAGAGCTGAGGATTACACGTTTTTGCATTTTTATTCCTCTCCCAAATCAGCATGCAAACATTTTTCAATGCCCGGATTTGCTTTATTTATTACAAGTTTGACTACACAGAGAACCAGCTCAATACTGTGTACATTGTACAATTTTGTTCATTGTATATGTATGTAATTGCAGATAATTGCATTACATTTCCAAACTGTTATTTAATTCCGAAATTACAAATTGCACGTTATCTGAACGCGAAACGTGATTTATTTTCAACTGCTTACTCTGCTTAAACATAAACTATCTCGTTTATAAATTACTCAAACTTATCATTAATTTTTGTTTTATTTTAGTATCAGTACTAAGATTGTATTATCGAGGTTAAGTATACCTTCCTATAAACCTTTTTTTTATTATTTTTTTCGGGGAAAATTATTCAGGAACTCCAAGAATGGTCAGACTCTTACTGACTAAAAATCTCCATTGATCCCTGTCCGCAGACCCAAGGTTAAAAGCAGCTTCCGATCAAAATGGTCCGACTATATATATATGATCATAAAGATGAAAATAATGAGATCTTTAATAATCTTTCTATCGAAAGATTACGATGCTAAAGAAAGCTTCTCTCAAATACAAAATACCGTATCGTGTTTCCACGTATAGAGGTCTTCAATCACCGGAGGACCCGGCACATAAGCCGACGACCCGAAAGAAAGGGACGTACTCGAACACTACACATATGTACAGACTACAGCAGGTCAACCTTGTCCATTTCGTACTTAATTTTGCATTGCATTGTCGACTTTGTGTCAAAACAACAAAGTTGAAAATTTAACAAAGAAATTCGACGGAAAAGACATGGTTGTCTTGATGGTCACTGTACGTTGTATATGTCGATATTACGACACTTTGGGTCTGTCTCAACACTTTGGGGAATCTTCGCAAGTTTTGCTAGTTATGTTTCCGAAAAAAGGTACAAAACATTGTGAATGTGTTTCCCAAAGGTAGTTATAGCACTTTTCGTATTTGGGGAGTGTTCTTTTGCACCCAATGCAATAGTGCTCAGTAAAGTTTAATTATATTAAGGGCCTGTTTTATTGTCATAAATTTGAATGTAGAACGTGTGTTGTACAAACCATGCGCTAGTTTATTCGGTGTCTATATGAAGGTGGTTAAACAGATGCTCTGTACAAAGGAAAAGCTTTTTCTTGGCATTTGATAATAATTATTCTTTTATCCTGGTCTTAAGTATTATAAATATAATACTGTTGTTAGTCTAAGCTCCGGAACATTATAAAGTTTTTTTTTAATTATATCATAATAAATAGTTAGGAATTCTGAAAGCTGTTACATTGTCTAACGCTAAAATATACAAGAAATAAAAATCACAATGTAGTTTTAGTCAAAGTGAAAAATCCAAACCACTAAAGTCTAAAAGCAGCCTTAAGCTTTGAAAAGGGTTGTTTTACTTTTTGTAACCGAAACGAATACCATTTTAATGATTCTGTTCGGCTTAGTCTGCACGACCTTAAAGGCCAGACGTTAAAATAAGAACATATTAAAAATGGTTCTAATGAATGTTTATTCAATGGCTTTTATGTCTGTACTCAGCTCTGCAAATGAGCAGTTTCTGACTCACGCTTTGTTTTTGTGGTACCTATTTGAAAGATTTATTTTCATTCAATTTTTGTTTAAGTTGAAAGAAATAGAAGAAGTAGTATTAAGAAGTACAGTTTTCCTCGACATTCGATATTCATTTTTAATCGAAGGCTCTAAATTAAAATATGCGCCGTGCTAAGTTTTTATTCATACTAGGAATTAAATCCCGTCGTAAAAATTTGTATGTACAAAAATGTCAAAGGTAATTTAATCCAGAACAGTATAAAACTGTATTCATTCGATATCATCTCTTTTACAATTTATAAGACAGCATTTCCATGTTCTCAAACAGAAATATTAAATACAAAAGATTGAAAAAGCAATTCAATTATGAGAAATAAATTGCATCGGAATGTTGTGGCTATTGAGAGCAACGTGGAGGAAGTTAATTAAGTCTGTGAATAGAAATTGATTAACAAGAAAAACTAACCAAAACAAGCAATACAATTTAAATTCAAAGGGCAACGTGCCTGATTGAAAAGCCTACCTTACAGGCATGCAATACAAGTTTAAGTACGATACCGAGGGAACACAGGGGTGTAAAAAGCAACCCTCTCATTCACTATAAAAACCATTCAAACTTTGAGAACGCATCGTTACATAACATCCATTACAGACTTTCAAAGTTTGTCTTAGGCACTCGATGGTAGTTACCATTCAATGTAATAGATACAGGGGTGAATCGCGAGGGGTTGGCACGTAGGACATGGTAAACGAAGTTCGCGAACAACCACGTAGTCAGTCGGACTCGAGCCTTGAGCGAGGGAGCACGCGTCTCGCTCGCTTCGAAAACGTTCGTTACGGACAAGAATAAAGTTTTGTGACTGAAAAATAAAGTTCAGTTTCGGAGTTCGCAATCAAACTGGGAAGAGTTTGTTTGAAATTCGCATTTGGAAGTTCGCGTAAATAAAGGTTTGTAGGCTCATTCTGTATTTGCATAGGTTTTGTTAGAAAGGGTTTCTGTTGTGTTTAGAATTTAAATTTTATGCAATCCTTAATTACGAGTGCTAGGTATACTTGACGCCCACTCTCACCCAAATTAGGATGGAAGAGTTTTTAAAGGAGAGTTTAAGGTTTTCAGCATTATATTATTTTTATTGAACCTTTCCGTTTAGAACAAATGTAAACGTTATCCCTTTTAAACAATTTGATTGTCAAAAGACAAATATTATACCCAATTAAATTGTGGAAGCAAACTTTTGTAGGAGTAGATAGATGTTTGTTATTATTTTAGGTAGAAACATCGAAATAGGTCTGAATAAAATTTGTCACAGAGATATTTTGAAGTCCGGAATAATACAGGCTACATTTTAATTTAGAATTGCGGGTGAAATTGCTGAGGGAAATTTTTGATATAAATATGAAAGTCAAAGTCAAATAATTCATTTCAACTAAAACATACATAGCTTGAAACTACTCACTTTTGAAATGACAAAATAGAATAAGTCTATTAGTCTGTTCATCAGTGAAGCTAGGCATTCGTTCCCAAGTGTAAATTCGAATGGAGAAGAACGAACTAAATACTCAAACAAAGTCATATTTTATTTCACTTTCAAAGTTAATCGTGTAACTAACATTACTAGGACATAATGATGATTGCCACTACATAACGACTTCATGTCATCTGTCTAAATACAAGTCATTTATCACGCTAATTGTTATGTGTGAAAGTTTGTGACAATGTTCAGATGTTTGGTGCCCAACTGGGTGGAAATGGAAAGGGGTCCATTTGAAGTTTGATTAATTTACAGGGTTATGTGCGTGTGTGTGTGATAGTACAAGTTATGAAGCCATTTTGTTATGTAGACATTTGGTACAAAAATATGGTATTCATGTATATATATTTTTTATAAAATAATTTAATCAAACTTGGGTAGGTAATTTGCTAAGCTGTTCGTTCTGAGATAATTTAATAAATACCCGAAACAGGTATATGTGATGATGTTTTATAAATATATCTCTTTTATGCGGGGATTTTCACATACGTTGGTATCTGATTTTAAATTGACCCTTGCGTGCTTTCCATCTGAACCAGTCTATTGAAACTATTAAAATTTTTACCTCAAAAGATCACTAAAGAATCGACTTTTCTCTTGCATTGTTTTTAATGATAGTATTAGGAAAGCCCACTAAAGAATCGACTTTTCTCTTGCATTATTTTTAATGATAGGTGGACTGGACTTTTAGACAGACTTCTGAATTAAGTTATTTTGGCATTTCTTATTAGAGTAGTCGTCGTTCATTCGTTTTAATTAATGTTGACGTGTAAAAGTATTACTTTGTAACCTATGTGCAATCAAAAGTCCTTTTTCATTTAAACATTGTAAGCATCTGTGTGAAATGGTTTAAAGATCACATTTAGTTACTTTTACATGAAGTTTGGACCGGACCGCATATAAAATACCTGCCATGGTCGATTAAGTTGTTTAAATATAAGAAAGTTTATATAATTTTTGTTTTATAATAAGTATGTAAGGTTTCTTTGTATTGTTTTTGATGTTGTGTGTTATGTATTTCTTTATAATGTTATTACACTATTGTATTAGAAAACTCCTGTGATAATAGTTGTATGTTGGTAATAAATAAATAAATAAATAAAAGTTGGAGAGTATATGTATACAATAATGCGGTATCTTCCTTCTTATCAGCATATTCACGTGTCACGATGTTAACTTTAAATACGTCAATATGTAGACAATAATTTATAATGTTAAAGTAACAACAACGAAATAGGTCGTATACCTATTTCTCGAAATATTCTTTGTAGGGGAAATACCAAGAAAAATCAGAAGAAGAAATAATAAATATCATTAGGTATTTAGGTACCTAAATAACCAGTTCTTTAGTACTATTGGTTATCAGATACGTAATTTTCTGTCATTAAGTAGGTACAGCTTGACAACCGCCTTCTAATATTTCAGGGTAAAAACAAAACTGTTTAGACCTTGAAAATTAGATTATAATATAGAGTACTTATATAACATTTATACTATGTAATTGTTATGTACTGTTTCGTGGATGTATGGTCTGAAAGGTTGATTTCTATTGAGTTCAGTTCTATTTTTAGTTCAGCGTTTGTTTGGATTAATAAAAAATGGTATTCAAATTCCAACTTACAAAACAAAAAAAAAAACATTTTTATATACAATATAAAAAAACATTTTTATATACAATATAAATATATTGTATATAAAAATGTTTTTATACATATTATATTATATAAAATAAAATGTTGTTTTTAAACATCTTTATTATACAATATAAATATATTGTGTATAAATTTTCAAAATAAAGCGATAATGGTATTTTTGATTTTCAAAAACTCTCTGCCGACTTATTATATTGCAGATCTTTACATCTGATTATTCTAATTCTCAAAGAAAGTCTACCATGTCGATAAATGCATAGCATTTTATGATAGGATTTTGTGTATGTGTGAAAGAGCCATGCTTCCGCACGAATACTGGCATAAAACAACCAAAGCGTTGTTGTGATTACCGTGTCCGTGAGTTTACCGGAGGTCCAATCCTTCTCTCACCATCCCCAATTGCTATCAACTGCCAGTCTTCAAATCTCTACTTGTACACCATTACTACCATCAGGTGATCCGTTTACTTAATTTCATTTCTAACTTATGCTGCAATCAGGTGATTCATCTACCTGATTTCAGGTCTATCTAATAAGAATAATAAATAAATAAATAACTTAAAGCTAGTCGGCTATTGATATTTATCCTTTCAATAAATTGTTTTGATAATGTCACCCGATAAAGGTGTAATTCAAGTTTATCGTAAAACCTGATTGTTGTTTAAAACATTGTTAAAACGGTCCCCCTGTATAGTTTATAGGGTAAATTATAAGGTCTTTTAAAGCTTGGATATTTAATCGTTACTAGTTTAGTTATTTTTCTTCCAGTTTTAGTTAACGTAGAAAATTGCTTTGTAATTGCACGGACATATTTTTTTTGTCCACAACACTAAAGGTAGTACGAATGCGTTGCCGGTCTTTTAGGGATAAAGGTTTAGGATATTAAAAGATTGGGAATGGATGGGGAGCGGGGGTGGGATTGGGCCTTTGGTAACTCATTCACACGGCGAAACACAACGCTTTAGTTGTTTCACGCCAGTCTTCTGTAAGAAGTGATATAAGCATGAAGTTATTATTGCCAGTTGAAGGATAAAAGTAGACTTTGTTTGTTAACTAAAAATCGCGGGTTACTCACGTGTAAATATTGAGAAAAGCTCTACTAGTTTCGAACCACAGAGGGGTTCTTCCTCATGAGCAGCGTGCGCGGACGCGGCGACGTCGCGCAGCCTACTGCTTAGCGTTGCAACCCGGCACAAAGTCTGTGTTACATATGACGCAGCATATGTAACACAGACTTTGTGCCGGGCCCGGAATCGAACCCACTACCCGCGCCACTGGTGAACGTACCGTGCGCCTCAACATCGTCACACGCGCCGCCGCCGGAGATGGAAGCAAACGCACGTGGTATCCGGCAGATGGCGCGTTGGACTCGCCGCAGCGCAACCATCAACAGCGATGCAGGCGCCAACGCTAACCAGTAGGCTGCGCGACGTCGCCGCGTCCGCGCACGCTGCTCATGAGGAAGAACCCCTCTGTGGTTCGAAACTAGTAGAGCTTTTCTCAATATACACACGTGAGTAACCCGCGATTTTTAGTTAATTTAGCATGTCGCACGATAGTTAGTATAAAAAAAAGACTTTGTATGTGTTATTCCAACCTGATAAAACAAAGCAACTCAATAAAACTTGAAACAATAATAAAATTCGTCAGAAATTAATGAAAGATATTCAAAAGAGGATTTTATTACAGCAAATAGCTCGTGGTCATTGGTTCCAATTTTAGAAATTCGCTTTATTAAATTTATATATTTTATATAACATCTAAAGCACTTTGATTTTGATAAAGTGGAAAAGGATAACATAATAAACAATACTTGTTTGAATTGAAGTACCTATGTAGGTTATTATATTATTCTGAGAAGCACACGTTCATAAACATATATTTGTGATTTGTTTATTAGGAATCATGTTATAATATAGTTAAAGTTTAAGGTACCGCCGCTGAGGCAGGCCTAGAGCAGGAGAAGGAAAAGGGGAATTTTCAGTCAGTTAAGAGTCTGATACTCCCTCTTGCCCCACCCAGGACTAGAGAAGTCATTCGATGAGTTTCCCCTCATAAACAAAAACCCAAAAAGTCACACCTAAATTATCTTGGTTTTAATGAGACTAATGAAGAGCTAAATAGAAAATTGTTTTATGGGTGCATTTGAAGGCAAAATCACATCACACACAGAATAATAAGTTATTGGACCACAATGAAAAGTCAAATACAGAAATATAATATTGGCGATTTTGCTCTGAATCATAGGATTCTAAAACATCTTAATCACACCCAGAATCTGAACAACGAACAATGGAAACAAAGAGTTATTCCGTTCGGGAATCCAACCCGCAACACGTTGCGCCGTAGCCAGTTGCCCAGATACCGCGCTAAGCGTGCAATCAAACCGTTCTCCCGTTGGTACTGTGTTAATCGCAAAATCGTGTTTGGTTTCATTAGACTAGACCATCAAGTCAAGCGAATCATCTCTACCGATACTTCATATCAGAAGTCCTTCCTATGTTAAGTACAAAAGATTACTTACTACTCAGTAATTTCTTTAAATCAAAATCTAGGCCGTATATTTTGTGTGTTTGTATTTCGTCTAGACTTGATGCGATGAACGCGTCGTTCCGTTCTCACTTTAGTCACGTAGCGGGGATAATCCTGGAGTAACTTTACATAATAGTTTTACCAGAGAACTTTTTACGTACCAGCGCAAATAACCGTTCTTTGAAGATTGGTTAGCAAAATAGTTACTAATTACTATGATGGACGAGTGATAA